GGGCACAGGGAGACCCTGTCTCAAAAAGACCAAAAACAAAAAATTCACATTACATCAAGATAGTATTTAATATTAAGTTTTATATATTTGTAAAGTTGATCAGCTTCATAATTAAAATAAAGCTGAGCATGGTATGTATACACTTATAGTCCTGGCACTTGGGAGACTGACATAGGAGGGTCTCTTAAGACTAGAAATTTGAAGCCAGGCTCGGGGCAACACAATGAGACCATGCCTATAACTAGCTAACTAGCTAACTAGCTAACTAGCTAACTAACTAACTAACTAACTAATTAACTAAGTAAATAAATAAAGTAAAACAAGATTTAAAAAAAGCTGACCATGAACTTTATTAAGTATTTGAAGTGAGGTAGAAAACTTTTTGGCTATCAAATTTAGTGAGGAAATATCTTTTGCCTTGGTAGAATTACAACTGCCATTTGATGTATATTTAAAAAATTTTTGTTGTGGAGAAACTGACACAGTAATTTTTTTTGAAACAGGGTCTCTTTATGTAGCATAGGCTGGCCTGAAACTTGCCATAGAACCCAGGCTTAGACTCACTCAAGATCCTCCTACCTTAGCCGCCTGAGTGCTAGGATTATAATTCTGAGCCTGGTCACTGAAGGAAATTGGCACAAAACAGAACCCCTGACCATGGAATGTCTGATCCCCCAACTATCCAGTTCTATATTGGGGACTTCCTCTTTCCCCCTGCCTGGGTGCCCAGATGGGCCACATGGACAAGTCCCAAGAGAAGCTACAAGAACGGCTGAAAATAAATCTCCCCTCCAGCGACTATGCCCCCAAATCCCCTTGTAGCTGCTGCCCCTATAGACCAGCCCCTATTCCCCTTGTAGTAGCCCCCATCCTGTGGGAAGGTTGCTGCCCCTCACTGTGGTAAATAAACACAATCTTGTTTGTTGAGGTCAGATGTGGTCACTTTCTCCCCTATTGTTCCTGTATTCTGTGCTCCAAAATCTAATACTCACAATCATAATTTGACTAATTTTTTTATTTTTAAAAAGTAGTTTATGTGTATGAATGTATTACCTACATGTATGCAATGTCTGAGGAGGCCAGAAGAGGGTGTCGGATCTTCTGGAACTGGAGTTACAGATGGTTGTTAGCTGCCATGTGGGTGCTGGGCACCGAACCCAGGTCCTCTGCAAGAGCAGCCAGTGCTCTTAACCACTGAGCCATCTCCAACCCCACAACTATTAAGATTTTTAACTGGAAACATACATAATTTGAGATGGAACTCAGGACCTTATTTGTACATGCTAGACAAGCAATCTACTACTGAGATACATACCTAGCTATAAAATCTAATCTTCACAAATCTAACCCCTTATGGCTTGATTTAAGATGTTATTAATTTCCTATTGGTACTATAACAAACTATCACACATTTAGTGGTTTAAAACAACATAAATTTGTGCCAATGAGATGGTATATGGGGTAAAGGTGCTTGCTGCCAACCCTGATGACCTGAGTCCAATCCCTGGGTCCTGCATGATAGGAGAGAACCAACTCCTGCAAGTTGCCCTCTGACCCCCATACATACACCATTGCATACACCCATACATACATACATACATACATACATACATACATATGTAAATAAATGTAATAAAATTATTAGAAAAAAGACAATTTTATATCCTTATGGTTCTAGAGAGCAGAAGTCCAAAATTAGCATCCTAAAGCTAAAACTCAAAACCTAAGTAAGTGTCCAGGGAGGAATCCATTTCCTGTCTTTTCTAGGTTCTAAACTTTAGAATCTAAAGGACATGGACACTCGTTGCTCATAGTGATGTAGAGCCTGATGGACTATTTAAGGAAAATATGGATTTTAATTCTTGTTTTCTCTCCCATTATGTGTCTATACCAACTTGTCAGCAGGATGTTCGCTGACAGACTTTATGGCTGGAACATTGATAGTCACCCAGCAATAGCCTATAGTTTTGCTCCCCTCTCTCCTAGATGCTTCCTCTATTTTTCCTCAAAGACTTCTGCAGACACTTCCAGACAGAGGATTTTTTTAACATTTGCTTTCTCTCTAAATTTATAATAATTGGTCTAATTTTGAGATTGTACTTAACAGACAATATGTAAGTTTCCTTCTCACTGTAACCCAATGCCTAAGGTATAAAAGACACGTGCTACTTCTCTTCAGGGTCCAGATTTTGGGGCTTGAGTCCGCTGGACCATGCTGGGGCCTAGATAAAACACCTGCTTTCTGTATATTCCCAGTGCCCTGCCTGATGAATAGTCTTACCACTCCCATCTCCTGCTTCTGTCATCGCATCTCCTACTTCTACCATCTGCTCTTCCTCTTGGTTCCCTGTTACAGAGACATGTGTGATTATATTTAGGGCCCACTTGGATAATTCAGGATACTCTTCCACATCTCAAAATCCTTAATTATATTTGTTAAGTCTTCTTTGACACACAAAGTAATGCACATAGGTTCCCAGGATTATGACCTGGACATATCATAGGGGAGGGTGCATCATTTAGCACTTCACAGTCTACCCTCTAGGCCCTAAAGATTAGCCCATCCCAACATCCCCCAAGCTCTTAACATATTATAGCATCAGTTCAAGTCCAATATCTTCCCAGTATCATGAGTACCAAAGTCCAAATATCATCTAATAAGGGATCAGTGAGGATCTGGCTATGCTCCATCCTCAGACAAAATTCCTCTCCATTTGTGGGCCACTAAAACTAGAAAGCACAATTTCTACTTCCCAAATGCAATGGTGGGTCTCGAGAGAGTAAAATAATAGACATTTGCATTATAAAAAATTTAAAATGGGGGCTGAAGAGATGGTTCAGCGGTTAAGAGCACCGACTGCTCTTGAAGAGGACCCAGGTTTGATTCTCTGCACCCACATGGCAGCCATGAACTGTCCTTAACTCCAGTTCCAGGGGAATCCGAAGCCCTCTTCTGACCTCTGCTGCATTGCATGACACGGGTGCACTCACATATATGCAGGCAATACACTCATACACATAAAAGTTGAAAATGGAAAGACGAAAGGAGTTAGCAGTCCAAGAAATTCTGAGACCCAGGAAAACAAAAATCATTAGATTCCAAGACTTAGTGTGATATGGCACCTTCTTGGCCATAGCTTCTCCATGTTGAAGTTTATGCTGACTCTATTCTCTGAAATTATCAGGCAGTTGTCCCAGGGTATGGAAACACACATCAGCAGGACCCCAACTGTCTTGGGAACAGGTCACTGTGTTTCAGACTGTACCTGCTAACTGCAGATTTATAGCTTCTATAGGTTATACTTGGCTTGCTTCTGCAAAATAGTAATTGTTTCCTACCCAATTGGAAATATGAGTCATCCACAGCCTCTGCTCTAGTGGCATAAATTTGTCCTGTGTACTGAAGTAATAAAGCTCCTTTAAATAATTAAAAAAATAGTAATTGTTGCTTAATAGAATAAAAATTGGAGGCTTTCCACCTGTAAGCTTGGGAACTTAAACTTTTCACCCCTGGTTGTGGTTTCTCTGTATAAAAGCTTACCCTAAAAATGGCTTGGGGCTGCACTTGGGTTCTGGCACCCTTGTGTAGTTGCTGGCCAGCTAGTAAAAGACTTTCATTTGGCAAAACTTTGTCTGAGTGGCATTCTCTGGTGAAGCACCTCATAACATTAGTAGTAGTCCTTTGTAGGTTGAGGATCCCTTCTTTGAGCCTTAGGCTCCACCCTCAGGGCCAATGGTCCTCCCTTGGAGTTAGCCTTCTTTTTACTTGCAGCTGAGCAGTTTCATCAGTTTGCTTTCTGACTATATAATTTAGAAATCCAAGATTTTTTCAGTTTGTCCTATGCCTGTCATCTATCTCTTTCAGTCTAAGTTGGCAGTATTTATGTTGGTACAGATGGACTATTCCTAACTCAAAATTCCTGGGGCCCGAAGTGTTTTACATTTTAATTTTCTTTTATGGAATGCTCACATACACTTTCCAGGTTGAGCATCCTTTACCTAAAACCTTAAATTTGATGTAGTCCACAATCCTAAATTTAGAAGAAAAAGCAAGGTATCAGTGGGGCTGGTTCCTTCTGGAGACTTCAGGAGGCAATCTATTCCTTGCCAATTCTGACTTCTAAAGGCTGTAAGCATTCCTTGGCAATTCTTGGCTCATTGCAATACAATCCCAATCCTTATCTCCTGTTATCACAGCTACTTCCATAGCCCCATCTTCCCCCTGTGATTGGATTTAGTGTCCACCTCAATCTTCTAGGATAACGTTCAAGTCCCTTAAGTTAACCACACCTGCAAAATCATTTTTGCTAGAAGGTCATGTTCATAGGTTCTACAGCTTAGGACCTGGATATTTTGAAGGGTCATTACTAAGTCTTTTGCAAAGGTAGTTTAGAAATTTTGCCTGTCATTTGGTTAACAGGATAGGTCTCAGGGTGTGAATGCTAGAGAAGTGTTCTGACACTGGGCTACAGCCTTTAGAAGTCAGAATTGGCAATGAGAACGCGCATAGCTTTTGTTAGTGAACAATGTAGCAACTTGTTTAATGTAAAAATTACATCACTAAATTTAATTCATAGAAAACTTAATAAAATGCATTAAGTTAAGGAATTTCTTATATTAATAATTAGGTCATTGTATGATAAAGTATAAAAGGCCTAAAAATAAGTTCCTTGGCTACATAAAATTAGCATGTATTTGAAACAGAAATACAGGTTCCATGAAAGGGGAAAACACACTAATTAAGAATTCACTTGGAATAAGGATATAATATTGTCTGAAAACAAACATGTCCTATGTACTGAAGTATTTATAAAGCTCACTTCAAACTATTAAGCCTGTTCATAAAAGATGGGTTGAGAAACTTGGATTCCAGAGACTCCAAATTCCTTCTCAGATGTAGTTTAATAAAGCAATACAAGATTAAGAAGGCGAAAAGATGTAAAGAAACCAGTAGACATCAAGAAATCATTTGATTCTCGCAGGTTGGCCAATCTCCTTACCTAGACTGGAATAAATGTGGCTGAGAATCCGAGCTGGCTGTACTCTGATGGGGTACACCTCAGCAATGGTCTCCACATCAATTCCCTTGTCCTTTAAAATGGCCTTGATTTCTTCCGTTTCAGCCAGAATGGAGACTACAGAAGACAGATGAGATCAACAGAAGATTTTAGTCCAAGAGTAACCTAAAAATATTATAAGGTATATAATTTCTTTGGAGAGGAGGAAAGGGGGAGAAAATGAACAGTTATTGAGAACTTTGATGAGTCAGGGATTATTCTAGGTACATAATATTATCTAAATGCAAAAGGGAAAAGATGACTAGAGTATGAGATTGATGTTTGAGTTAAGTGCCTGTGTGTACCTACAGAATGGCACTGTCTTCATTTCTGGGATTCCATGTTTAAATATGAACATTTTTTAAAATTATGAAACTTTAAAATATTTGGTAAAAGTTGATTGATAGGGCTCTTCAACATAAGCACACTTAAGGTCAGGGTTGGAATGTGAAGGTAAAATAAACATCTTAAAGACCAGAGTTGCCCTATAGGTAGACAATGGCAGACAGAGGGCAAATTGCAGATGAAGATTTGAGTCGGGAATATACAGGAGATATGAGAGTTGAGAAATTGGGGGGAGATGGTTTGGAGTGATAGAGCACCATTTCTTTACATCCAGAACCTGCCAGTCCCCAGACTGTTCCCTTTTTTTCCACTTACACTCATGTCTCTGGATTAGTAAGCCTACCACAGTGGAAGAGACCAGATTGGCTCCCTGGTTCTTCTCTTTCCTTTCATGAGGTAGATTACCCAGTAAATAGCCCAAGTGCCACTTCAGCTTGCTTGATACCACTCCCCACAACAAACATAATTTCTCTTCCTGCTCTTCTAGTTCTTGTGGATGTAAGCATTGGGTTCACAGGAAAAATAATGTGCCACTTGGTTCATTTCAGCTTACCAGCATTTTCTGTGCTGAGTTTTTGAGACAAAAGTTTGGTTAACAAAGTGCTACTTTCCTTTCCTTTGTCATTATCATTTGTGTATTTTTGTATCTTGGAAACCTTGTGTTGCTGAGGTCTGGCCTGGAATATGATATGGTGATTACAGAATCTTCTGAAGCTTACAGAATCTTCTGAATATGATGTCAGATTATTACTTTTAAATAAGAGCATGGAAATTAAAAAAGAAAATGTACAAAGAATGACAGTGATTGAAAACAGTCCAGGGAACTTCATGTGGTTATGTGGCCATCCATCCATCCATTCATTAAAATAAATTTGCTAAGTGCCTAAACAGATTAGGTACTAAGCCAAGTGCTATGGATATACAGATGAATAAAGTACTATCTCCCCCAAGGAGCTCCCAGTGTTGTGGGAATGGGACACATGAACGGTTCACAAAATAACCTCCTAGGTAAATGGGGGTATGTACAAAACACTATGAGACTACCTAGAAGTACCATTTATCTAGACTAGAATTAGGAAGGATGGTTTGAAGAAAAGTCTGAAAGAGCTGATGGCTAAATGGATTTGAAATAATGAAGAAGTTAGTCAAGGTAAAGACGTGGATAGTAAGGGGATAGTTATTCTAGGTTGAAGGTTCTGAATGAGCTTAAAGAACATAGATTTAAAAAGTTGTGCTTGTGGGGGGGCAATGGTAAACTACACTGACTTCAACATATTATGTCATGCAACATATTACGGTAAAAGGAATGAAGGTGGAAAGGTAGACAGGGGTTAGATCATCACGGAGGGATAGGTGTTAACTTTAAGGATTCTGTCTAACATCCTCAGGCACTGCTTCATAAACTGCATTCTACAGAACCTCAGGGTTTTAAACCCGGAGGCGATACAATTGGTTACAAGAGTAGACAGGAGTAGGAGAGTCAAGTAAATAACCTTTTTGGGTTCCAGGAGTATGCTCAACCTAAGCAACTCATTTTTTTTTAATTTTATACTTATACAATAGAGTATGATTATTTTCTATTTATAGAATAGAGTATGATTATTTTGTGTGTGTTATATGGTAGTGTTGTGTAGCAATTTCCTCTAACATAAAACCTTTGTTTTGGAGGAAAGCTGGGATGTTCTAAAGAAAGGTAAACAAGAGGATGTCAAAAGTTAGGTAGACAACAGGATGCCAGAGGGGATGTGAAACTTTCATCCTACAGGGAAGCTCCTTAAGCTCAGGAAGTAAACAACTGAACAGCTTTAGGAAATGCCTAAAAGTGACAGGTTCACTAGGCTCCTTCCTCCCCAAGACTGCTGAGAGACACTTTCAGAACAGTGAAATCACCTAGAAGTAGAGACAAGCTGAGTCGCCTTGTGTAAGAGGTTCGGGCCAGGCACGCTGCCTGAAGAAACAAAGACAAGCCAAGCTGCTGGGAAGAGGCAGAGACCAGCCTAGGCACCTGCAAGAGTATGCGACCACCTGAACTACCTTGAAAGTACCCTCTCCAATCTGCTGAGCTGCCTGCAGGTTGTGCGGTGCCCTCCAGGTTCCTCTGTTTTGAGTTGTCACCCATGTTGAGATGGGCTTTGGTGATGCAGCTGTGTTTGAATCATTTCCGCTCCTGTAAGTAAACCCTCACCCATACTACTGTAAGTAACCCCAATAAAACTCATTGGTTTGATGTAGCTAAATAGAATATTTAAGGAAAATATGGTTTTGAATCCTTGTTTTCTCACTTTGTCTCTGTCAGCAAATTTCAGCTGACAAGTTTGTGGTTAGAATGCTGACACAGCTAGCTAGAACCACTTGTGTCCCGCTGAAACTTCATTCTGTTTGTCTCAGATCCTGGAGACTTCTGCAATGATTTTCAAACAGGATTTTTTTTAAACATTTGTTCTCTTTTCTCAATTTATAATAATTTGCCTGGTTTTAAGACTTTTGCTGTTAACCAACCAATGTATAGGTTTTCTTTTTACTGTAACTCACTGCCTAAGGTAAAAAGATGAATGCTTCCTCCTTTTGGGGTCCAGACTTTGAGACTTAAGTCCTTTGACCCAGGCTGCAGCCTAATAATCCTGCTTCCTGCATCTCCTGGTATTGTCTTACCCATCATACAACATTTCTTGGTGACTCTGGTGGGACTGTAGATAGAGGTGCCTCCCTCATCTCTGGGGCTTAGACGCCCTCGGATGCTGGAGGATGACTTCTCCTTAATGGCACCAAAGACTTTTTGAGCCTGTAAAGAGTGACTCACCCAGTGTCTTAGAGATGCTGTCCCTGAGCACAACATACTCAGGGAGACAGGATCCAGGAGCAGGGATTTGGAACACAACCCAACTGAACAGGTAGGACCCAGGTTCACGAGGAAACCCACCAAAATTGGTGGAAGAGGAGATTGATCACCTCCTTATAAATGGTCCTGGAGTACCCTTTGACTAGAGATTTCCTGCAGGAAGTCAGAGCTTAAACGGATCTGGGGTGATAGAAAGCTCTCATTACAGAAAATCAGAAGTCCTCTTGCTCAACCATTATCCGTCAGCCACTCCCAGAACTCAGGGGGAACTGTTTCTTAAGATAGCTGGTTTTCCAAGACAGCCTGTCTCACTTGGATAAAACAGATCCAGGAAAGAGGGGGTCATAAATTTCTCAAGAGCACACTGACTTGCATGTAGACCCTTGTATCTGCATCTGCTTCTTCATTCCATAGCCCCTACATGATCACTAACTCTCCCTCTCTCCAGTACAGTTGCTTCCATCCCATTGCTGTGCTGAATAAATGCAGTCTTGTTCTTTTGAATGTCTGGCCACTAGTCTATTTCCCAACTCCAATTTCCTTCCCATTTGTCTAAAACTTAACCCAGGGTTGGGGGAGGCATCCAAGTAGTCTGTAGCTGGGGTCAGGGGCTAAGAAATATAAAACTGACCTTTTTTGGTTGGCAATCTGGGATTTTTTTGTCTTGAAATTTTGGGTTGAGGGCAGTATAGAAATTTTGTCTGATCTTGTCAGTAAGAAAATGTGTAAAAATGTATGCAGGGCAGGATGGAAACTGCAAATCCACAGGGAACAACTGTATGCCACAAATGAGTGAGGGGGGTCACTTAATAGGGGGCACTCACCATAGGGGTTAATATTAAATTAAACAACCTAGGGATATCTATTGTGCTAAGAGGTTCTAATTCCCTGGTTGTGGTCACAGCCATGTGTTCCCACCGGCCAGAGCAGAGTCTGGAAAAGGGCTTTAAATGTTGACATGGGACAAGGGAAGAAGCCACTGGAGTACATGAACTGACCCTTTCCAAGCAGAGCCCCTTTCCTCTCTGGGCCACTGGCTTTATTGCAGGTTTACCAATTGGTCTAAAATGCTAGAGCCCATATCTTAATATGCCCAGGGGCACTGGGCCAGGAGTTCAGGCATGGGGTGCCATTGCCTGCAACCCAAAGGGCTGAAGCTTTACACAAGGAAGGTAGTGACAAAATGACCCCGCTAGGTTCTAATGCCCAATCTTTCTATGCTGAGACTGTGAATCAGACTTTCTCCAAACTTCCAATATAGTCTCTTCCCAAGTTTTTATAATTTATTTTTTTAGATATTTTATTTATTATTTTTATTTTATGTATGAGTGTATTGTTTGCATGTGTATGAGTGTACCTACGTCGTGCAATGCCCACAGAAGTCATAAGAGGGCATCAGATCCCCTAGAACTGGAGTTATGGACAGTTGTTAGTGTTCATGTGGGTGCTGGGAATTGAACCTGAGTCCTCTACAAGAGCAGTCAGTGCTCTTAACCACTAAGCCATCTCTCCAGCCCCCTCCAAAGTTCTTTTAAAATGCCATTATTCTTTGTGTTCCTTTTTCTCTACATTGTAAATGTTTAAATCAAAGATCATGTATGGTAAATTGTAATATGAGTTTTCTAATCAGACAAACTGGTAGTCCTCTTTAACAGGAAAATTCACTCTGAGAGCTATCAGGCTTGTTTCTTATTTAATATAAATTGGCAAACTATTTTTTTTGTCTTTTTTGAGATAAAGTCTCCCTGTAGCCCCCACTGGTCTAGAATTCAATTTGTAGACCAGGCTGGCCTCGAACTCACAGAGAGCCACCTGCCTCTGCCTCCTGAGTGCTGGGACTAAAGGCGTGCCCTACCATGCCTGGTGGCAAACTATAAAGTTTTAAAGGTCAAAA